AAATGAAACTTATTGAAACATAGGACATTCTAAATTTCAGACGTATTAGAGGGTCACCCTAATTAGAAGGTCATGAAAAAAGTAATGATGTGCCGAGACACTGTATAAGGGCATGGCCTTTTATTCTTATACTTTTCTGCCGTGAGGTTCTGCATTTTTCGTTTTTTTCTTTTCTTTTTTCAAGTTTATTTGCTCCTTTTCTCTTTTATAAGGTGGAGTGTTTATTTTCCGTAACAACGCTTTTTGTTCTTATCTAGCAGTTCACGTCGACATTTCGGTATTGTTTGCTTCAAGGTGGAAATAAAGGTCAGTTCAGGTCGTGTAATCCATGACATACACTGTATCGCAGTCAGATTCATGGTCATAGATGCTCCGTGGTGTGTTGAGTTGATTCAACACTGCACCCATCGTCAGCAACCAAGGTGCCCAGCGTAGAGGAATTTGAGTTGGGTGGAACTTTCAGTATACGATCGTTGACCCAAACCGACAGATAAAGATAATCAAATCCAGTTCACGGATTTCAGTCCTCTGATTGAAAGGGCAGAGAAGACAACGTCGAGCTGCAGTTTTCTATTTTAGAAAATAATTTTGATCATTTCTGTTGGTTTGCACTAGTACTTGTTATTTATAACGTTTTTTAAAAATGTTCTAACATGTTTCTGTTTCTGCCGCGATTGAGGCACGCTTTTTGTTGGATTTTCATTGGATGGTATCGGAATAAAACATGTGGATAGACAAAAGATTATCTTCAGTCAGAAGTTAACGAGCAGTTTGTGAGAACCGTATTTTTGGACCAAGAATCTGATTTTCATATCCGCGACCAGTAATATCGCCCTTCTCAGAAACTTGTTCTGGTCATATGGCTCATTTCGAATGAATAAGAGGACCATCAACTTATATTCAGTTTTCTTTCGCAAATTTTTTAGGTTTTCTAGGTTTAACTATATCGGTCTGTGTTTTTCCGCACCCACTGAAAAGCAATAGCGGCGTGTCTCAATCACGGCAGGAACATTAATGAAATTCATAGCAGAAATACACGAATGTCAGAACTTTGAAAACGTAAGATATGACCGGAATGAGTTTGTGAGAAGAGCGATATTTAAAAGGTTAAATTTAAAAAAAGAACTTCTAGATGATGCATTATGTTTGCTAACGTGGAATAATTGAGTAACCAACGAGAAGAAAAAGAAAATAATCATATAGTAATCTAATCCTATTTAATAATAAAACAATATGACATATTCTTTTGTGCCCAAAATAATTTCAGTTAGTCACATTCAGCACAGAAGAGAATAAATAAACAACAGTTAAGAGTATACGGAACAAATACATCTCGGTAAATTTTATATTTTTCTCCAGCCAGCTACCATCAATACAAATGTCGGATTGGTCCGATGAACCGGCGGCTGCATCATTGACTGATTGGGATGATAAGGGTGACGAAAATAAACCACCATTATCGATCCCAACATATACAAATGTAGATGTAAATAAATTACCAGAATTAAAATTCGACAGGTATCTATCGATCTTTACTCTCATCTCTCACTGAGGTATATGATTTGATTTGATGTTTGATTATATAGATCAGGAAAAGGAAGAGTATACGGGGCAATTCTATGGCTAATCCTTATTACTACTGGTATCGTCCTGTTGCTCGCAGTGCTTGTCGCCATCGTCGTGCTCATCATTCACTTGAGTCCAAACTCAACATCAGTGTCATCCGCATCAACAACAAGTACAACAGCGGCATCGAGTACCACGGCTAACTTCTTAACGTAGGCGTGTGATTTTTACTTCACCCCCTGCGGTCAAAGGACAACAAAATAAGGGAAAAACGAACTGGGCTTGGCATTGTCTTTGATGATTCCACAGAGATGAACGTTTATATTATTTTCCTTGTCGTAGGATGAAAATGCTTGCCCTTTCTCTTTATACTTTTTCGCACAAAAATTAAAAATTTCAAGAAGCGAGCCACGCTGCTAGTATATGCGGCCCCGCTGACTGAAATTAGGCATGCTGCAGCTTTCTTTTCGTCTGTAGTACACTGTAAAAAATAAAATGCGTTAGTAGCTGTGTAAATCTTCTAAACATTCACTCGAGAGCTAGGAGTGTTAAAAAGATTTCTTATTTTCCATTTTCCTCTTGGACTACTGCATCAAATGGAAAAGTAATTTCAAATCACAATCACCAGCTTCAGAAGTATATATGCTGTCATTTCGAGCAAAAACAGATAAGAAAAAGACTGGAAAAAAATATCGCCATATGGTAGATATGTACACTGGATTGATTCTGAGGATGACTCTGAGGCATTTCCTACACAGATAGTTTAGACAAACAGACCAGATCATTGGTCTCAGTGTGTGAAGCCACAGTATACTTCACATACCTATGCCGCGCATTCCAGGCGGTCACTAGGAATTGACTCGGAGTTCACTTTATGTGTGTCATTTACACACTTTGTTTTTTACAGTGTAGGTATTTTTAAAGTTGTTTGGTTTCTTTTAATAGGTGTTTTCGTCAAACTATGGTCGGTTAAAACTGATGATTTTTAACCGATGCGCCTGTGAATCAAAAACATTTTCTAAAGAAAATCAACAACTTTAAAAACACCTACTATATACCATCTGGTAGAAAAATGTTTTCTCTGCAAAACTGATGATTTAAAAGACTTTGACAAAGCAGTTTTACGACGATACAGACCATTTTCTTCTTAACAGCAAAAAAGGAAAATCGGAAAAAAAATTAATTACAGTGATCAAAACTAAACTACAAGTACTCTATTTTCATTCTCAATTTATTTAGTTTTATTCTCTTCTTTACAGTACAACGGCTTTGACAACGGCTTCTACAACG